GATTTGGTTGTTGCTGAGGGTGAACAATAGGTTTTGTGGGTCCACTAGGTCAGCTCACAAAATTGGAATTGTCTTTSAAAAAATACGCCGCACACGGTCTTTAAAATGTCATCCAGAGGTGCAACYATAAACTTGCTTTTTCCATAATAATTTTTATTATGCCTCAGATCAGGAAACACTATTTCAACCTCAGTAAGTGGAGCCTTAGGAGTGTTATGTCCGATTGAACAGTGGGGGRAAAGTGCCACAAAATGAAGGTGTTTTTAATAGAATCATAGAATGGTTTGGGTTGGAAGGGACTTAAAACATATCTTGATCCATCTCCCTGCTGTGGGCAGGACACCTCCCCAGAGCCCCATCGAACCTGGGCTTGGGCACTTCCAGGGATGGGAAAGAAGCTCATCAGAATTCAGTGGAAACCAGGCACAAATCTGGGAAGGATTCTTAGCCTGGACCTGTTCCTAGTGATGGAAAAGCAAGCTTTTGAGAGATCTGAAGAGCTGAAAATGAAGAAAAAAGTGAAATTTGTAGCATTATGGCCATGGAAAGTCACTGGTCTCGGACAGTCTCTCATTTCATAYGCAGTGCATTGGAAAAGGATGGCAGTTGGACAGATGGAAGAAACATGGGGAGACCTTTAGGAWGGAGCAGATATTTTCTTTAATTTTAGTATTGTAACACGTAGCTTATCCTGAGGTGAGTGGTTTCAGTGTGAGCTTGGAAACCCCTTTACCCAGTGTAAAACTGCAGCCTCGCTGAAGGGCTTTCTCTCCATCCATCATCTCTTGTATTATTTGAAAACCCTCAAGCTCTATAATATTTTTTATATCCATGTTTTTCATAACTAATCTGAGCCATGTAATTTACTTAAGGGTGGCTCTAGAGCACAGCCATGCATAGGACAAGGGGGAAATGGCTTGAAGCTGAAGGAGAGTGGATTCAGATTGGATATTGGGAAGAAATTCTTCCCTGTGAGGGTGCACAGAGAAGCTGTGGCTGCCCCTGGATCCCTGGAAATGTCCAAGGCCAGGTTGGACATGGGCATCAAACTGAAACCACCACGTTGCCTGGGTTSATTTCATGGCCCGTGGTGGAGTGTCTTCTCCAGCTTTGAAAACCATCAGAAATCATTACAAATTCAACAACTGCTGGCATTTGTAATCAAAAGAGTCCCCCCAAAACAGCAGTGTCTCTTTCTGGTAGGCCTGTTTAGAAAACATGAGCATACCCATTTGCTCAATTTGCATGTCTGAAAGGCTTCTGCTCAGTTAATTGGTTAAATTAATTTCTGCTGTTGCAAACAGAGAGCTGCTGTATTAAAAGCAGAACTGAAGTAATTTTACTTTACATTATTCCGTGTCATGGCACATCGTTCCTCTCTTACTCAAGGCGATTCATTTTGTGGGGCTGTCAAGTAATATTTGGTGTCATCTTGAGTCAATGCGGCTTTTTTGATTTTCCCCTGATATTTTAACAGTTTATTTAGTCCTGTAGATAATGGTCAATGGCCTTGAGTAGTCAAATTAACACCTCGGTGGCGCCGTATCGGAGCGGTAACCCGGGGACGAAAAGGGATGAGAATCGACGCGGGGAGCGCGGTTTGGGGGATTATGGATTGATGGATCGCGGGCAGCACGGTCCYGCTCTGACTAAGATGGAGCTGCCTGTTAGTGCTGACTGCAGGCCATTACCTGCGTGGTGTGTCAGCAGCAGAGCGGGGATGGACACCTCAGGCAGCCCTGGCTTCGCGGCATCGGGACAGCATTCCGCCGCGCTCCGGCTCCCAGAATGGAGATGGCATCGGTTGGATTCAGCGCCCGCCCGCCATTCCTTCVGGATCTCTTTGGGACAACCGAGGCACTAATGGCTGGTGTCCCCGCTGCCCCCGTGAGAAGCCRCGCTGCTGTCAGCGAGCTGCGAGCCCCGGTCCCCCTGCCACAACTCTCAATTGCTAGCAGGTTTCTCTCACTGCACCTCATTTGCATCTGGGACATCAATTAGCATGTTTGTTGAGGCTAATTGAATGAAACTCAATCATAGCTCTTAATTGCTTGACTATGTGAAAAGAAATCACATTAATGCAGCTAATTAAGTGTATGGCAATAGATGCAACATAATTAGGAGCGAAATGTAAAAAACAAGCGATGGGCGGAGGTGCGAGCGTGGGGTGTGGGGGATCAGGGTGCCGGCGTCTCCTCTGAGCCACATGTTTGGGGAGGGGTCCCTCTGCTTTGCTGCTGGCTTGAATTTTTTTTTTATTTTTTTCTCCCCCGCCTTGCTGAATGATGAACGCGGACCAGTTGAGAAGAAAAATGCAAATGGATTCGCAATTACTACTTTTTCAAGCTGTTGAGGGGCAGAAGATGGCACGTCTGGGGTGGCCCACTGTTGAGTGGGCTCTAGGGACTTGTTAAGTGCTGTTTAAAAGTACTTGGCTTTGAATTACCCTCATGCCTTGTTAAAGGGTTTTTTTTCCCCTTTTTTCTCGGATCAGCATTTTCTACAACTAACATCTCGGGGASTTATCCCTGTACCATTTGCATATCAAAATCCAGCTTGCTGTCTTCTCTTTAACACGGCATATTCCAAATGACAGCGAGACCCTCATCTGTTCTAATCTGATCAAACYCTCCATTGCGCTTCTGAAGCCCCGGCGTCATTTTGTAGTTTGAACTTTCATTCCCTGAGCGGGGATCTGACGGGGACTGCCACCGCGGTCCTTGCCCTCCCCTCCTCGGGGAGACACGCAGATTATGGCTGTGCATCCTGCACACGATGAAAAGGCCTTTATTATTTACATTTGATATATCCCCATAAATATTTAAGCTGACATTAATACTTACCCAGCATCTGTTGTTGTTCGGGTGCGTGGGTTTAGCAGCGGCTGCGACGCGTTGATTTTGTGTTTGCCAACGCTCGCTCGCTTTCTCAAGTGGTTTTGTGGCTCACCTGAGCCTGGTTTACACCCAGTTAAAAGAACTCATCTCACAAGTTGTGAACTCCTACCCACCCTTCACCTGAAGAATTTGGAACCGGCATCCCCATTCTCTRTTTTAAGTGGATCTTCCTTAAATAAATTAGAAAATAGCATGTGCTGAGGTTTAGTCACTCCCTGATTAAACCTCCCTTTAGTGCCCATAAGCAACAAATGCTCAATTATCTTCTGCTTATTGTATTTTAATTTGTGAAGAACTGATACCCAAAYGAGAAAGTTCCGCCGAGTTGATAATTTATGGATGAAATGCGTTTGTTCATCTCTGACACCTTGTAAAGGAATTTTCTTGAGTGGATTGCCTTTGTTTCTCTTGGCAGCAGAGCTCTGCATCATCTTCCCCACAAATTGTTCAAACCCCACCTTTTGCTGTTTGTAATTCTCAGACAGCTTGGGAAAAATAAGCTGCTGTGATGGCTTAGTTGGGGAATTTTATCACAGATTTCTGTTAACTGCGAAGAAATTACTGCTGGTCCAGATTTTTGATGGGTTTTGAGCAGAATATATAATTCTTATTGTAAAAACTGCCAAAGGTGCAGGAATCTTGATGAGGGAGATGATTGCTCCCTATGTTGTGGCAGCAGYGCTACAGATTTTGGGTAAATTCAGGAATTTTCTCATTAAATGGATGTTCTGGTGCTGTCCAGGTCTGTGTGCTGCAGCTTGGGAACCAGCCTAGTTAATGTTGGTAGGTTTTCATCTAAAACCCATCATCTGGCTAAATCTTGCCCTCATCACCTGGACAACAGGGAGTTATATTTTTCCTCATGGAGATGCCCACAGCATCACCCAGGTCTCTGTGAGGTGATCAAGTTCTGTCTGAAAAGGAATTCAGACTTCTGGCCTCACATAGAAGATCCCCAGGAATGCCATTCCCCTGGGCTCCAGCTGAACTTAAGAAGTCCAGGTCTTCTCCCAACCACTTCAAATTGCTGTTTTTCTCTTGGGGTCCCCAGTCCACGTAGTCTTGGAGTGGGTTGGGTTTAAAGGGACCTTAAAGCTCATCTCACTCCACCCCTGCCATGGCAGGGACAACTTCCACTGTCCCAGGTTGCTCCAAGCCCTGCCCAGCCTGGCCTTGGACACTGCCAGCCATCCAGGAGCAGCCACAGCTTCTCTGGCAATTCAGAATTTTTTGTGCAATGTTCTCCCTTCTCACCCCTGATTTTACTCTCCTGTGCTACCCCTCTTGCATGTCCTCTGTAAGACAGTGTCTCTCTTGTTTCTTTTAGTGTTCTCACAGTTGTCCCAGTTTCAATTCTTCTTTTTTCTGCAATATGAGTGACCACAGTCCTGTGTACCAGGAGATGAGAATTTTGGTGTCTCGTGAGCTGGCTTTGAYATTCACCATCTCTCTGCTGGTGTATCCCAGGATCAATTTGCCCTTTGATAAAAACACCCACATCCATTTCCTCTTCTGTTTATTTCCCCTTCGTGGCCTTCCCAAGCAAGAATTCACCAAAGCCTTTTGCACTTCTGGCTCCCAGCTTTTAGCATGTTTGCTCAAATCAGATGCAATTTCCGTGATTTTTTTCCCTTTGATGATGTTTTGTGTGGGTGGAGGAAGGGTCATATTCTGAGGAAACAAAGTTGGAATTGCTGAAACCTTACCCTTTTGTAAGTTTTGTGCCTGCTGACCCATTCCAGCCAAATTTGAGGGAGAAAGAGATAAAGGCATAAAACACTGGCAGAGAGGAGACACAAGTAAATGTGTTCAGGAGGGACATCAGCCTTGTCTTCTTCTGTTTGGGACCTTTAGGTGATGAATTCCCATGGCTACATTAGGAATCACCTCTTATTCAGCTGGTGCTTGGCRTATCTTTGAGAAAGCTCATTGTAATTGTCATGAAAAGTGTGGAGGGATTATCAAGAGCATGGAAAGAAGGGGAAAACGTGGATTCTGGCAGAGGATGTAGGGCCAAAATCTTGTGAAACGAGATGTATTAATTCTGATGCTTACAGAAGTCCCTGTTTGATGTTGGATTTTGGGTTTTTTCTCCRTCTCCAGGATTACATGCAGAATGTTCACGGGAAAGAGATCGACTTGCTGAGAACCACTGTGAAGGTCCCCGGGAAGAGGCCACCCCGAGCCACGTCAGCCTGTGCCCCCATCTCCAGCCCCAAAACCAACGGCCTCTCCAAAGACATGAGCAGTTTACACATCTCGCCAAATTCAGGTAAAAGAAAAAATGGGAAAAAACCTGTATTTCCAGTGTCTGTAGGGAATGATCATGAACACTTGGGATAGGGATGGTATCTCTTAATAATTGGAAGTGTTCAAGGCCAAGCTGGATTGGGCTTCGAGCAACCTGGTGGAAGGTGTCCCTGCCCATGGCAGGGGGTGGAATTACATGAGCTTTAGGATCCCTCCAGCCCAAACTATTCTGGGATTTACAGATCCACTCATGTGGGTGTTTTTAAGTCTTGACTGCTGATCTGTCCCCTACAAGAGATTTTGAGTTTCTGAGTAGCCTTCGATGTCTGCCTTTGTGTTTTTGTTTCTTTGTACTTGCCAAAGCCCTACATAATTTCACAGTAATTAACATATGGGAAGAATTTATGATCTTTTATCTAATACTTAGGAAAAACAAATGCTGGATGATTTGAAAAGCCTTTTTATGGCTTCCTGGTGGGATCCACAGCCCTTCTTTCCACTTTTGCAAAGTTCAGAATTACGCATTCTTCTAACAGCGAGATTCTTCTGTAGAAAGTTGTTTTAATTTATTGATGGAAGTGGTTTATAGCTCTCCTTCTGAGCTCTAAACAAAGAAGTTTATTGTTTGCTGAAGTACTTGTCCATACAGCTAAGTGGATTTTAAAAAATTGCATTAAGGGAAAACATTTGAGACAATTTATCTTGGAAAATGCATTGCTTGTACAAAACTCGTAATGGTCTCGTGGAAGTTCTGTCAGCATGTTTGGGATGACATCCATAAAGTGCCAAGTGCCTTTTGCATTTATGGTTAACGTAGGCACTTCCTGCATGTGCCAGCAAAACCATCCCCAGCCYCTCCTGTCCCTGTGCAAAAAAAACCCTCTGGGATGAGGAAATGGGAGATTCCTGGGTATTCAGTGTCTCCTCTTGGATGACAGTAGTTATCTGTCTCATGTTTCATAGAATCACAGGCTGGTTTGGGTTAGAAGGAACCTTAGGTATCATCTCATTCCAAACTCCAGTCCTTCAAGCCAAGGTGTAATTCCCTGCTTTTTTTGCACCATTCCCCTTTATTAGGGGAAAACAGAGAATTTTTTTTCCTTCCAATGCTGGTTGAGATGGATTTTTACAGTGGTGCCACTGAGCAGGCACCCCTGGAGATCTCAGCCTGGGACCTGAGGTGTCTGAAGTCACAATTTCATCAGACCCTTGTTCCAGTTGTGACTCAGCACTGGAAGAGTTCACAGGAGAGAATTATTTGTGGTTGGGTTTTTTTTTCCAGTTTACTGTTTCATTAGATGTGGGAAGTGCTTTTATTTATTTTATATGCTTCTTTATTTAGGGAAGAAAAGCGCTGGGCTGAGTCAATAAACCGGGGGCGGGACCTTTATTTAAAGACATTTCTTCTTTTAAGACATTTAACAATTGCTAACAATTTTGAACACAGGCAAACATTTCTTGTTTGCTTCAGAGAAGCAAGTTTCTGAAAACGTATTTAGAGATATGTAATAATATAAGGTTTATAGCATGGAATTTGTATGTCTTGGCATGTATAAGACATCTATCAATGCCAAAATTGTTAACGATTTCAAACACAGGCAAGCATTCCTTGATTGCTTCAGAGAAGCAAGTTTCTGAAAACATATAATAATATAAGGTTTATAGCATGGAATTTACATGTCTTATCATGTACTTGGATTGCCAGGTCAGGTAAAATTTCCATGGCAGTTTCCAGCAGACAGSTCTCCCTTGCCAGGAAGGGAGCACTGTGTGTGTGTCCTGGCCAGGCTGAGGTTTGATCACCCAGAAAGGAGTGAATTATGCCAGAAAGTATCCAAATGCAGGAAAATTTAGTTGGTGTATTTCCAGCAGCACAGTGGGAATCATTGGAGCTTCTGTCTTCCTTCTTGGCTTCTTCATTTCTTCATCCTGTTGCTTAGAAATATTGAAAGACTTGGGTGTTGTAGGTGTCTGATCAGCATCTGCTGCTTGTTACTGGATTAAAAGCAAGCATTAAAAGGAGCTGCTAATCAGTAAAGARTGATCTAAAAATAAATAAATAAATAGGGAAGAAAATGGAAATTAAAAAGTAGTAGGACAGCCTGGATCTGGGAAATCACTGCCAGCAGCTCCGCTCTGCATCAGCTCGTGTGTCACTCCCAATACWCTGGTGGTCAGGCTGTGCTGTCGTCTCAGAGCTGATGCCCAAAATCCAGCTCCCTMAACCAGAGGCTGGACAGAATTRAGAKAATAAAAATCAGTTCTGTTTATGGCAGGGCCTTCAGGTGCAYTCAGGGCAGTCCCACACCCACAATGGACAATGGCTCATGGGTTTTTCACCCTTTCTCACTTTTGTCCATTTGCACATCGGGGCTGAATCCTCCAATTGCAGCTGCAGCCAATGCAGTCATTCACTCCAASTTGGCTCCCCCRAATTCTCTGTTGTTTCCATCTCTTGGGGCCTGGCACAGKGAGGTGTCCTTGAGTTTGGGGCTGCAGAGGAATTGTTTTGTGTGAAAATGGGAGAGCAGGAGCTCAGCACTGTCTGTGGAGTCTGCAGTTATCCCCTAAAGAATTCCAGGATTGCCGATACATGGAAATAGGATAAAATCCTAAACAGTCAGAGCTTTCCCTCACTCGTTAGTGCTGGCAAAAGTGGYGTCTTGAGCTCTCTGATGCTTTAAAATTGATCACAGGGCTGAGCTTGTCACTGACTGGTTTGTTACTGGAGGTTTGGTACGTTTGGACCAAACAGGAGGAATCAGCACTTGCTGGTTTTATCTTAGCCCTGTAAATTCACTGCATTCTCAGTGYTTCACCTTTCCTCTTCCCCAAAACAGTCAAATGCTGCTTATGTGGGATGGTGCCTTCATTTGACTCTTAAACACTATGGGGAAGCTGCCCTATAAGGATGGATTTCAGTGCCAACTTTGCCACCAAATCTGTTGATTAAATGCCTATCTGATTGCCTGTAATGGATGTTTTGAGTTCATTTTTCAGCAAATATTTTTCTCTGAGTGTAATTTCTCRTGATTCAGCCACTCTTCTGATCCCACCACTGTTTGTGAGGCAGTAGAGCAGCTCGAGCTCCTTCTTCTCATCCCCTTCCCTCTCTAAAGCCTCTTTGAACCCCAGTGGTTGATCAAACACCTTCAATTCCCTCCCTCATGGTGAGGCCCTTTCCCAAGGTGCTTCCCATCACAGTGCTGTGAGCAGAACTGGAGGAATTTGGCTGATCAGGGTGATATTTTGAATTCAGGACAGGCAGACTCAATTATTTGGCACTAAAAAAGCCAAGCAGCAAATGCAGGGTTTTCTCTTGGCTTGATTGACGTAGGAGTCACACGCAGAAGGAGAGGTTTGGGAGTGTGTCATTCCCATCACATGGAATTTTGTCATGCTTTGTGGCATTTCTGATCTGAACAGGGTTGTTTTTAAAGACTTTGATAAACAGACATTTAATAACTGTCTCTCCATGACCCCTCTCCTGATCCATACGTGTGCTTACCTCCCAGACTTCTGGAATCTGGTAACTCTGGGGAAAAAAAATCATCTTAACAACAAAAGCCAACTTCCCAGTCCTTGAGAATTTCTGTTTCAGAGATGTTAAAAAAAAAAAAAAGAGCTTTATGAGAATAAATGAATTTAAAAGCTCAGGATGACTTTTCCTGCTGAGTTTCCAGTGATACAAGGGCTGGGAAAAACACTTTTCCCTTGACATCCAGTCATAGTCGTGTTAGGTGGGAACTGTCACAGTTATGATAGGACCGTGAACAGCAACTGCAAGTGGAGCAGCAGTAGGAAAAAGGAATATTTTCTGTGCTCAGTCAGAAAGCAGAGAAAGGAGTGGAAGCTGGGCTGCTCCTGCTGTTGCAAAGCCAAGCATCTTGCCTGGAAAAAGGTTGACTTTGATTTCAGAAGTGGTCTCTTCTTGTGGTCTCAGAGGTGCAGTTTGGGGTTTAATGTGTAAGACCTGAGATTGTGTAAGAACTGGGATTTTGTTCTCCCCAAAAGACAGAAAGATGGGGGATTGTTTTAGTTGTGTTCTTTATGTTATATAGAGACTTTAAATAATGAATTGTTAGCCGTGGCTTCATGGAAGGTGCTCATATTTGTAAGCTGACTTGGTAGGAATCTCTGGGTTGGAGGAATCGGATGTTTGCTGCATTTATTTGAAAATTATGTCACTTCTGTGGTATCTTGAATCCAGGTTGACTAATGATGCTTAAGTAAGTGAAATTTAAACTAAATGGACGTGGTGCTGAGTGTCATTTCGTTGATGCAGCTCAGCTGGAAGTCCTTCAGGAGAGGGAGATGGTTGGAACTGCTGGGAGCAGGGCCAGTGTCCTGTCCATCCCACAGAATCCTATCCATCCCACAGAGTCCTGTCCACCCCTCAAGAGTCCTGTCCACCCCTCAGAGTCCTGTCCATCCCACAGAGTCCTGTCCAGCCCCCTGGCCAGTCTCTGCCCTTTAGGAGCTGACTCAGCCTGACTTTAGAGCCAGGAGTGGGTCCAGGTTTCCTTCCTTCCCGAGCTGGCTTGGGTTTGATATGCTTGACCTGAAGGTGACCTGATTCCTGAAATCTCTCCCAGGAGTCATTTATTTCTTCTCCTCTCCAAACAACCCAAAGCCTGAGCTGTAGCAAGAGCCACTGATGTAGAAAGTTCACATCTAAAAATAGCTTATGGTGTGGGGATAAATTGTTTCCTGATTAACACTTCATTTAAATAATTTGGTGCTAGAAAATTCCCTTAAAATGGTGACTGTACAGTATGTGAAGTATCCCAAAATGTGTTAGTTCCAGGGCCAGTTAGGGTGCTGGAGGTTGCTATCTGCTAACTGCTTGTGACATTTCAGATGCTGTAGGARCGGCAGCTCCACGTTCCTATCAGTGTGAGGTTCCTGCCTGTTATTGTGATCATCTATCAAACCCTCTGTGTTTTTTGGAGATCATGTAATAATCTTTCCTAATTGGAGGTCACTGTGAGGATTCAGATGTTGTGATCAGGCTGATGATGA